TCTCTCTCTCTCTCTCTCTCTCTCTCTCTCTCTCTCTCTCTTTCTCTCTCTCTCTCTCTCTCTCTCTCTCTCTCTCTCTCTCTCTCTCTCTCTCCCTCTTCTTTGTTCTTCTCTTGGTCCTTGCTTTGTCTTGCACTCCTGGCCAATTCCTCCTCCGTGGCTGCCTTCCTCAAGAGGGGGCTGATGTTTTATTTGTTGTGCCATTTGTCTTCTCGTTTCGTGTTGACTCCCTTTCTCTCTCTCCATTGTTCGTTTTTTTTTTTTTTTTTTTTTTTCAATAACAACAATCTTCTATTAATCCACGCAAAGGCATACAAGCCAAGCCTACACCATAACCAGCCCCTACGGCTGCCATCTTGCCCTGGCCCCCATGGCCTATCGTACTCCCCAAGGCTCCTAACCAGCCTACGCACCACCGGTGCATCCACCTACGCCCCCCGGCATAGTGGCAAGGGGCGCCGCCCCATGAGTCCTCTCACACCACGGGTGCGGGACCTTGTGCGCCACGCCCTCCCATAGGGCAATTATTTGCCATATGGCCGGGCTGGCCGCAACGGAAACACACCCCCTTGAAGCGGGGCTCGTGGCAGCCCGCGGGTGGCATGCCTTTGCTTTCCGGTTCACCGTCTCGAGGGGGAAGGCGGCCTCCGCGGGCGAAGCCGGTACGTGCACGCTTGAGGGCCGCCACGTCGGCTACCGCGAGCTTGTAAGAGCGGGATGTGAGCACGCTCTTGGCTTGGTACAGCTGGAACCGATCCGCCGCTTCGAAACCGGCCTCATCCGCCACCAAGAGCACCTCGAAGCGTTTGTTGATCAACGTGTCGATTTGCTCCACGTTGGAGAGCGCGCCCTCGACGTCGCCGTTTTGGAGCTTGAACTCGACGTGCCTCAGGTGAGCTTGAATTGCAGAGAACACCTCCGCCTGGTCACGCACTCCCTTGCGCATGAAGGTAGTAGCTGCGGGTGAAGGGTTGAGGGGGGGAAGGGGGGGTGCGGGTGCGAGAATGCGACGACGGGCAAGGTTGTCGGGGGCCTCACCGTCTTCATTTTCTGAGTCGTCGCTGTCATCGGGGATACGGGCTTGGGTTGGTGCCGGAGCTGGGGCGGGAGCAGGAGCAGCGTTGTTGGTGCGAGCGATTTTGGTGGAGCGGGGAGCCGCGACAGGTTCCTTCTGCTTTTCGATTTTAGCTGACGCAGAAATTTCTTCAGCTGATGTAGCTGCAGTCGATGGTGCGTGCTGCTGCAATAACGAGAGCAGCGCCTGCAGTTGCTGCGCGGTCAAAGGGGTGGGGGCGGCGTTGACCGGGGTGACGTCAGCGGAGGGTGCCGCGCGCTGGCGTTTCTGGGTCGTGGGCCCGGATGGACCCGCGTCAGCGCCGGTCAAGACGACCGCCGCGTCAGCGCCGGTCAAGACGACCGCCGCGTCAGCGGCGGTCGTCGTCTTCTGCGCAGCACGCGCGTGCCTGCCAGGCACGCGCTCTTCAGCAGCAGCCACGCGCGACTGTACAACAGTCGCGCGTTCCTCAGGGGGGGTCCGAAGGGTGCCTCCGAGCAGGAGGTCGACCGCCGAGGGTCCCTCGCTTGCAATTTCCTCGGCGGGACATTTTCCGCCGCGACGATCCGTTGTCCCGGCCGGAGTCGAGGTTTCCGCCGCGTTACCGGGGCTAGAATTATTCAAATTGTCGCAGTTAAGTGCCGGGTTGACCGGAGCCATCGTTGCGAGGTTGCGGTTAAGGATGTCGTTAAGGAGCGTTGACGGGGCAGTGAAGCGCGGAAGCGACTGAGTCTTCGCCAGTGTGGACGAGGACGAAATTAGAACTACAATTTTGAAAATGAAAACGTGGGTGGGGACGAATGTCCCCACGTCCCTCTTTTGTAGGCAAAAGAGGGTGATGTCAGAATATTATCTTATTGTTCTAGCCTGTAGTGGGGTGCTCTATAGCGAGTACAACCCTTCTAGGGTTTGCTATTTGTATCCTCATTCTTGCTAGTTCAATCCCCTTTCTTCCTTCAAACTTTGACATGCTATCAGAGCAGGTCGATCCCCTTGGATCGATCCTGTGGGTGTGTCCCCACCTTGCTTCCGCTGCTACTGTTTCCTCCCGCCGTGCGCCCCGAGGCGCGCGGCGATTTTCTGCCCGCCGTGCGCCCCGAGGCGCGCGGCGGTTTTCTGCCCGCCGTGCGCCCCGAGGCGCGCGGCGGGCTTCTCCCCTACGTCGCGGCCCCGCCCCGATCGTCGCGGCCCCGCCCCTTGACGCGGCCCCGCTCTACGTCGCGGCCCCGCCCCGGCCCGTCGCCGCCCGTGCGCCTGCCCGGCTCGGCCCCGCCCTACCTTCGCGGCCCCGCCCCTTGATGCGGCCCCGCTCTACGTCGCGGCTCCGCCCCGGCCCGTCGCCGCCCGTGCGCCTGCCCGGCTCGGCCCCGCCCTTCGTCGCGGCCCCGCCCCGGCCCGTCGCCGCCCGTGCGCCTGCCCGGCTTGGCCCCGCCCTATGTCGCAGCCCCGCCCTACGAAGCGGCCCTGCCCTACGTCGCGGCCCCGCCCCGACCGTCGCGGCCCCGCCCCTCGTCGCGGCCCCGCCCCTGCGTCGCGGCCCCGCCCCTGCGTCGCGGCCCCGCCCCTCGAAGCGGCCCCGCCCTACGTCGCGGCCCCGCCCCGCTCGTCGCGGCCCCGCCCCTTGTCGCGGCCCCGCCCTCCCCTCAGGTCCGTGGTGGCCCCCCCCCCCCCCCCCCTCTCCCCTCCCTTGCGGCCCCCTCAGGTCGCCACGACGGACGACGGGAGGGGCGAGCTGTTGGGTGGCGGGTATGGGGGTGGTCGGTGTGCCTTCCTCCCTTTCTCCTCCTCCTCCTTCGTCTCCCACTGCTGCAGCTGTCGCTGAGGGGGGTGGTTGTGTGGGAGACTGGGTTTAGGGTTTAAGGGGGGTGCGTGGGAGTAGAGCTAGTGGTGTAGCAGTGGGTGTGTATCAGGGGGGTGGGACTGTGTGTGGGAGGATGAGCGGAGGTTGCCAGTTTGTCGTCAGCAGCACCTGTAGTCCGGGGCGCTGTCCCGGTAGCCCAGTCGTAGCCAGCTGTGCCAGCCGCCCGTGGGTCCGTTGCCCGTCCGCCGCTATTTGAGCCGCGGGGCCTGTTACTCCTGTAGTCCGGGCGCTGTCCGGTAGCCGCTGTGCCAGTCTGCCTCCTGTTGCCCGTGTGTCTGCAGCTTCAGCCGTCGCCTCCTGTCTCCTCTCCCCTCACTCTCCCTCCTCCTCCTCACTTGCCCGTTGTGACTACCACTAGCTTTGCTTATAATTGTACACTCTAAACTATTTCTTCTTGAACTTGTGCTCAGAATGTGTGGTGACATTGTGATCCACCCTGAGCTTGTTTTTGCTTTGCCTGCTCTGCTGATTACACCCCACTTTGGCTATGGGGGTGTGTCAGAATATTATCTTATTGTTCTAGCCTGTAGTGGGGTGCTCTATAGCGAGTACAACCCTTCTAGGGTTTGCTATTTGTATCCTCATTCTTGCTAGTTCAATCCCCTTTCTTCCTTCAAACTTCGACAGGTGAGTAGCGCTTCGGCGCTACCTTTGCTGTGTTGGCCACGTACCCCTTTTCACAATACAAAAATTTAGAAAGTGTTACATTTCATTACACTTTCAAAATTTATAATTTTCTGTAGTATCAAACCTCACCCGATACTGAAGCACAACAAAAGGAGTATGAAGTCGAAAAGGCGCGTACCACATCAAACCGCAACTGGAGGTTGCGAGCTGTAACCGCCTGGAGGTTACGTAACAGCAAGCGACGTGTCAGAACATTATATAGCTTATGCTGTTGTGTAGGCTATAGTGGGGTATCCCATAGGGGGTACAACCCAATTAGGGTTTGCTATTTGTACTCACTTCACTCATAGTTCATTCATTCTCGTTCAGCCTTTTCACATGGTATCGAGCAGGTTCCTCTGTGGGAACTGCGCCTAGGGCCCACCACTCGAAAGTTTTTTTTTCCTGCCCGAAGCGCACTCATCCCGAGTCGCGCCTCGGGCCACTCTTTCCCCGAGCCGCCCTAGCGGCCGGCCTTACCAGCGCGGCCCTGCCGCCCTGCTCTAGCGGCCCTCGCGGCCCTTACTCACGCGGCTTCGCCGCCCCTGATCTCGCGGCCCCGCCGCCCTGCTCTCGCGGCCCTCGCCGCCCTTCCTCACGCGACGCCGCTGCCCCTACACGCGGCCCCGTCGCCCCTGCTCTCGCGGCCCCGCCGCCCCTGCTTTCGCGGCCCTCGCCGCCCCTGATCACGCGGCCCCGCCGCCCCTACTCCAGCGGCCCCGCCGACCCTGATCTCGCGGCCCTCGCCGCCCCTGATCTCGCGGCCCCGCCGCCCCAGCACTCACGGCCCCGCTGCCCCTGATCTCGCGGCCCCGCCGCCCCAGCGCTCACGGCCCCACCGCCCCTGATCCCGCGGACCCGCCGCCCCAGCGCTCCCGGCCCCGCCGCCCCTGTTAAGCGGCCCCGCCGTCCCTGCTCTCGCGGCCCCGCCGCCCCAGCACTCACGGCCCCGCCGCCCCAGTTAAGCGGCCCCGCCGTCCCTGATCTCGCGGCCCCGCCGCCCCAGCTCTCGCGGCCCCGCCGCCGCCTCTGCTCACGCGACACCGCCGCCCCTACTCACGGCCCCGTCGCCCCTGCTCTCCCGGCCCCGCCGCCTGGTACCGGAGCAGCCGAGCCGCCCCGCCCGAGCCGCCCTGGACCCGAGCCGCCTGGGAGCGGGGCCGCCCAGCAGCAGCCGAGCCGCCCAGCAGCAGCCGAGCCGCCCGGCAGCAGCCGAGCCGCCCAGCAGCAGCCGAGCCGCCCCGTAGCAGCCGAGCCGCCCAGCAGCAGCCGAGCCGCCCAGCCGTAGCCGAGCCGCCCAGCAGCAGCCGAGCCGCCCAGGAGCTGCCGAGCCGCCCGATCTGCCCTGCCCGGTGAGCACCGTCCCGCTGTCACTGCGTGCCCTTTCCCTACTGCTTGCACTGCTTCGCTGTCGTCGTCATGGCTACCCCTAGTGTCCTAGCTTTTGACGCTGAGGGTAGAGCCATTGACTTTGAGGTCTGGGTCGACGACCTGCAGCTGTTCTTACAGTGCGATAGGGCGGACGGTCTCTCTCTCTTTGACCTCACCTCTGGCGCCTCTCCTGCCCCTGCTGCTGATGCTGACCCCACTGTTCGCTCTCAGTGGGCCACCCGCGATGCTGCTGCACGTCTTGCTGTGCGTCGCCACCTCCCTACCACTGAGCGCGCGCACTTTAGTCAGTACAAGAGTGCTCAGACCTTGTACGACGCTGTAGTTGCGCGCTACTCTTCCCCTGCCACTGCTGCACTGAGCCGTCTCATGCTACCGTACCTCTTTCCTGACCTCACTGCCTTTCCCACTGTCGCTGACCTCATTACGCACCTCCGCACTAGTGACACTCGCTACCGAGCCGCCCTTCCTGCTGAGTTCTGCGTCAAGAACCCCCCCCCATGTACATCACTCTCTACTACGTAGTCGCACGCCTCCCTGACTCCCTTCGCGTAGTCAGGGACCACTTTCTCTCAGTCTGTCCCACCACCCTCACTGTCGACCTCCTCGAGAAGGCCCTCCTAGCGGCGGAGAAGAGCATCGTCGCTGTAGGAGCCTCTCGTGGTGACCCTCGCACCCCCATCTTTGAGGGGTGCTCTCCTTCCCCCCTGCTGCCCTCTGTTGCCTCTGCTGCTGCTGCCGACCTGCTTGGTCTTGAGTCGGTCGGCGCGGCGTCTGCCCCTAGCGGGAGACGCCGCTCTAGCAAGGGCAAGGGGGGCAAGGGAGCGGGTGGAGCTGGAGGGGGCGGTGGAGGTGGCGGTGGAGGCGGTGGAGGGAGTGGGGGTGGCGGTGGGAGTGGTGGCGGAGGCGGTGGTGGTGGTGGCAGCGGCGGAGGAGGCGGCGGTGGTGGCAGCAGCGGTGGGAGTGGTGGCGGCGGTGGAGGCGGAGGAGGAGGAGGTGTTGGCGGAGGAGGTGGAGCTGGTCGGGGTGGTGCCCCGCAGCAGAGCGGCGCTGGTAGTGGTCAGCGCCAGCAGCAGCAGCAGCAGCAGCGTTCGCGGGACATCCCTCCGCCCCAGCAGCTCCGTGAGTGGTACACTCGGCGTCAGAGGGGTGGGGGTACTGGTCCGTGCACCTACGTCCTTCGTTCCGGCGACCGCGCGGGTGAGCAGTGTGGGGGTGCCCACCCCACCCAGCGCTGCTTTGGCCGCCTGACGGACGCTTGGCGTCAGCAGTTCCCCGAGGCTAGTGAGATTCCCCGCTGGGATGAGCTGTCTAGGGCTGGTGTAGCGATCTTTGATCTTGACTTTGATGCTATCCTTGCTGCTATGTATGCTGTGACTATTAGTGAGGAGGGTGACTGTTACCGGTGGTTCCCGCCCGACCCGGGCATTGGTACTGCTGCGCTAGGTGCTTGTGAGGCTGCTGCTCTAGGTGCCAGTGCGTCTGCGCTCTCAGGTACTGGTGAGACTGCGCTCTCAGGTACTGCGTCCCCTTCGTCCTCCCTCACTTTCACACTTGACTCAGGGGCTTCTCGCTCCTTCTTTCGAGACCGCACCACCCTCACGCCGCTTGGTCGGCCGGTTGCGGTCTCCCTGGCTGACCCCTCTGGGGGTCCTGTCCTCTCTCACTTTTCCACTGTCCTCCCGTGTCCGGCTGCCCCCTCGGGCACCCTGTCTGGTCTGTACCTTCCCTCGTTCTCGACGAACTTGGTGAGTGGTGCGGACCTGCAGGATACGGGGGTTCACCAGTTCACTCCTGCGAGTCAGCGGGTGACCCACTGCACGGACGCACGCACTGGCCGGCACCTGGCCACGTTCTCGCGTCGGCCGGGGTCGAGCCTCTACACCCTGACCACTGAGTCTCCTCCTGTCCCTGCGTCTGGTCAGGTAGCTGCGTCAGGTCAGGTGTTTGCTGCTGCGTCCCGGTCTGGCCCTGAGTCTGCCCCCTGTTCGTGTCGCCTCCTGTCTCACGAGACTCTCCTGTGGCACCACCGGCTTGACCACCCCTCCCTGTCCCGTCTTCGGGGCATGGCTTCCCGTGTCCTTGTCTCAGGTCTTCCCCGGTCTCTCCCTCCCCTTCCTTCGGGACCAGGACCTTCCTGTGTCCCCTGTGTCGAGGGGCGCCTCAGGGCTGCTCCTCACTCCTCCCAGTTTCCCCCGACAGAGGCTCCTCTGCAGACACTTCACATGGACGTGTGGGGCCCGGCCCGCGTCCGTGGGCAGGGTCACGAGCGCTACTTCCTGTTGGTGGTTGACGACTACTCGCGTTACACCACAGTCTTCCCCTTGCGCAGCAAGGGTGATGTCACTGCGGTGCTGATCGACTGGATCCGCGAGGCTCGTCTCTAGCTCAGGAGGAGCTTCGGCTCGGACTTTCCTGTTCTGCGTCTGCACTCTGACCGAGGTGGGGAGTTCTCCTCTCGCCTTCTGCGAGACTACTGTCGTGCAGGGGGGATTCGCGAGACCTTTTCGCTTCCGGACTCTCCACAGCAAAATGAGATTGCTGAGCGCCGCATTGGCATGGTCATGGATGTCGCTCGTACGTCCATGATGCATGCGGCTGGCCCCCATTTTCTGTGGCCGTTTGCGGTTCGGTACGCGGCGCATCAACTCAACCTTCACCCCAGGGTCTCTCGGCCCGCGATGTCCCCAGCCTTGCTGTGGACGGGGAAGGTCGGCGATGCGTCTGCGTTCCGTGTCTGGGAATCTCGGGCGTTTGTCCGCGACCTGTCTGCGGACAAGTTGTCCCCTCGTGCTGCTCCCCGTGTCTTCCTTGGCTTCCCCCCTGACGCTCCAGGGTGGCAGTTCTACCACCCCTCCTCTCGTCGTGTTCTGTCCTCCCAGGACGTCACGTTCGACGAGTCAGTCCCCTTCTACCGCCTCTTCCCCTACCGCACTCCTTCCCTCCCCCCGCCACCGGACTTCCTTGTGCCGGTTCCCCCCCCGGTAGAACCCCTCCCCCCTCAGGTTCCTGCCCCCTCAGGTGTGTCCCAGGTAGACGTCGTTGACCCGGTCGAGGTTACTGGTGACTCTGGTGCTGCTGCGGGTGCTGAGCCTGGGGGTGCTGACTCTGGGGGTGCTGTGCGCGTGGGTGCTGAGCCTGGGGGTGCCGAGCCTGGAGGTGCTGCTACTGGGGGTGCTGAGCCTGGGGGTGCTACTGCTGAGGGTGCTGAGCCTGGGGGTGCTGAGCCGGGGGGTGCTGTGCCTGGAGCTGCTGAGCTAGGGGGTGCTGAGTCTGGGGGTGCTGAGTCTGGAGCTGCTGAGCCTGGGGGTGCTGAGTCTGGAGCTGCTGAGCCTGGGGGTGCTGCGTCTGGAGCTGCTGCGCCTGGGGTTTCTCCTGGTGCTCCATCTCGGCGGGAGCCCCTCTCTCCACAGGAGCTGCGCGAGTGGTTTGCTCGCCGCTGGAGGCGTACTACTGGAGCTGGAGCTTCTTCGACTGTCGAGGGTGCAGGTGCCGCCGGTCCCGGAGCTGCTGGGCCTGCGGGTCCTACTGGAGCTGGAGCTACTGAGGGTGTTGGTGCTGAGACTACTGCTGTCTGTCCTGGCGGTGGTCCTGCTGCTGGTGGTGATGGAGGTCCTGCCGCTGGAGGTGTTGGTGGCGCTGGTGCTGCCGCTGAGGGTGCTGGTGCTGTCCCTGCTGGGTCTGGAGTTGCCGCGCGGCCTCGGCCGTACTTCGTTCCGCTCCTACAACAGGTTCTTGGTCTTTCTCCTCCATCGCAAACCGTGCACCCACCGGACCAGACACATGGTTCCTCGACAGCTGTTGCGGTCATCACATGTGCTCTTCATCACGATTTCTTCAGCGCGAACGACGTCTTCCGCGAGACGTCATCATCACCGTCGTCAACAACGGAAACCTGCGCACCAACAAACAAGGAGTCGTGGAGCTTCAGTCAAATGAAACAAACGTGATCCTTCAACTAAACAAAGTACTCGTCGTCGACAACCTCGGCTTCAACTTACTAAGCGTCAGCCAACTTATGTCGAAAGGCGTTCACCTGGAGTGCGACTCCGACGCACTGGAAATTCGTCTTTACCACGGAAAAGGGGGGATCTTCATCGGCCGTGCAATCCAACAAGACGACGTGTTCGTCCTCGATTTCGTCCCCGACAAAGGCACCGCCGACAGCGACGGCATAGTGTCCCTCGCACCCTGGACGCATCCGCCAGACCTCGACCCGAACTTCAGTCCTGAAGGCTTCTAGTACTCTCGTACCATTCTCGAAGCTGAACGCACCAACGCGCTTGCCGTCCTGCAAACACAAGCAACAACACCTGAGTCAGCACCCGTCATCGAAACAACAGCACCCGTCACAGCACCAACAACCACCGAACCTGCAGTTGAAGAACCAACCATCGTCGCGGAGCAACCTTCCGAAACTCCACAGCCCGGTCCCTCCGTCGCGCCACCACCGCTCATCATCGACACGCCACCGACAGCCGCCCAACAGTTAACGCCAGCACCACGCGCCGTTCATCGAAGTGCAGCAACACACGCCGCCTTCTTCGCCAACGCAGACTTCTACCAACGCTCTGTCGGTCACAGCACCTCCGAAGACATGTGGCATCAACGTCTTGGACATCCTGGAAACAAAACACTTTACAACACAATACGAGCCGGAGTGTTAGACAAGAACGCCCTACTTCTTCCCAACGGATGTGAACTCGAACGACCACGCGGCACTTGCTTCATCTGCCTGGAAGCAGATCTGCCTCACCAACCATTCCCGTCACATCACAACCCGAGCGCCCCCGTTTATCAACCACTCGAGAAGGTCTACAGCGACATCCTCTACATACCTCGAACTGAAGGACGTGCAGATCTGAATCACGTCATCACCTTCATCGACGCCGCAACGCGATATGTCTGGCACGTCAACTTACCGTCACTAGACATGGCTCTAGAAGCCTTCACAGCCTGGCTACCTGTCGCTGAAAGAGAGTCGGGAGCGAAACTGAAGAGTTTTCAGTCAGATGGCGCAAAGGAGTACCAGTCAAACCACTTCACGCAGTTCTTGGCAGAAAGAGGCATCAAACGCCTCATCTCTCTACCTTACGCTCACCAACAGCAGGGTGTAGCAGAAAGGATGAACAGGACCCTGCAGACAACCATGCGAAAGCTGCTACGTGGAACTCGACTGCCCAACTCAGAATGGCCAGCAGCGATGGACCACGCTGTCCTCCTGCACAACTTGCTGTCCTTGTCTTCACTGCCCAACAACGCATCTCCGCACCTGTAGTGGACTGGGAAGCTGGGCAACACAAAAATGTTAAGAGTTTTTGGGTGTATGGTACAGTACCGCCCACACACTGCACGCGCAGGGAGATTTTCGCAACGTGCACAGTGGGGTCTACACCTCGGGCTGGCAAAACATTATGAAGCCTGGCGAATCTTCGACGTCCACACAAAGGAACCAGTAGCAGCACGTGACGTTATCTTCTACGAGCGACTCACCCTCAACCATTACCTGGACAACATCACACCGATGCACGTCGCAACACCCTACAGTCACCTATCGCTCGATCCAACCGAAGAAACCAACCCACTGCCGTCTGTTGGAATCCAGGAATATCAACAGAAACTGGGCTGCCTACTCTTTGCCGCCGTTACGTGCCGACCGGACTTATCCTACAGCGCCAGCCAGCTAGCGACCTACCTCAAGCGCCCAGAAGAACGTCACCTCAAGGAACTCAACCGTGCCCTTCTCTACCTCATTTCCACGCCAACAGTCGGCCTAACATATCACAAAAGCACGACGACCGACCTAAAACTACTCGGCTACGTCGACACTGATCACGCTGCTGATCGTGTCGATCGTCGCTCTCGCACCGGCTACATCTACCGTCTCGAGCCCGTCGGAACTATCTCCTGGCAATCAAGTAAGCAGGAACTCGTCGCACTATCATCTGCTGAAGCAGAGTATATTGCTCTCTGCACCGCCACCAAGGAAGGTCTGTACCTGCGCGAACTGCTGGAAGAAGCGAAAATTGCAAAAGTACCCAGCTTCTCGCTTTTCTGCGCCAACCAGTCCGCGATACGGATCGCGAACAAGAATGGCTTCGCCAACAGAACCAAGCATATCGCACTGCGATACTTCTTCGTAAAAGACGAAATTGAGAAAGGAAAACTCCAGCTGGACTACTGCCCGACCACCGAGATGGCAGCAGATTATCTCACCAAGAAGCTACCAAAAGGGAAATTCGAGTACTGCATGCTGCTCACCGGATTGGGCCACGTCACCGAAGCTGACCACGTCGACACTCCAGAAACGAAGGGGAGTGTTGGGAATTCTCACGCATGACTTAGTGCGTTTCTGTAGTATCGAACCTCACCCAATACTGAAGCACAACAAAAGGAGTATGAAGTCGAAAAGGCGCGTACCACATCAAACCGCAACTGGAGGTTGCGAGCTGTAACCGCCTGGAGGTTACGTAACAGCAAGCGACGCTTCAGTGAACAGTAACCGCCTCGATAGTCGAAGCGTTACGCGTCTCGATGAACATAACCGCTCCCTGTAATCTATCTTTTCTATATATTCCTGTATGCTCTTTGCTTTAATCAATTACTTGTTCTCACATACCAGCACAAGTACATTCACTCAAGACTTCCGCTGTGCTACTCTAGCACCTATTAGCCTATTCTCTGCAAAGATCCTAAGGCTGAAATTCTCAGCCCAACACACTCCTACCAAAAGAATACGGTAAGCGTTGGCTACGCGGTCATCATTAGAATTGCTTACGGACATTATATATTCTTTTAAACCCACCAATTGGGGGGGGCGGCTTGGGGGGGGGGGGGGGGGGGGGGGGGGGGGGGGGGGGGCGGGGCCTTTGTGAGGGTCGGTCGAAATGCCTATACCTTGTACAGAGAAAAGTACATCCGCCACAAATATACATTGGTCTCTCAGAGTAGCTAAAATCAGAACCCTGACAAATCAGAGAAAACTTATCCTCCAAAAAACTTACCCAGACACGTCAGAGTGACCCCCTAAATACTGTTGGGAACAAATAAGTTAAGCGCCTCTGTCGTGTCAGAACTCAAGACACAAAGCGAAGCAGCTCAAGTCGAAGCATCGCGAGTCAACCCTTGGTGGTTAACGTAACCGTCGGAGGTTACGAGAAAGTCAAAGGTCAGCGACCTTTGACCTGACGCAGCGCGACAGCAACGACAAACAACTGACTCGACATTGAGCAGTTGCCCGAGTCGCACTGTATCGAACCGCAACAATAAAAGTAGTTATAATTTCCTTTCATATTCTCTGTACTCATCTATTTATATTCTTGTATCTCCTTGCTTTAATCAACTCACTTTGCCCTCACATACCAGCGCAAGGTAGTTCAAGAGCTTTATTCAACGCTTCCGCTACTACAACATCTACTTAGACTTTAACTCTACAAAGATCCTAGGGCGTTTCAGCCCAACATGGTATGAGAGCAGTTAGAGTTAAAAGCTATTATTTTTCAACACTCAGTACATCAAGAAGACATGTCTGCTAGAAAGGAGAGGAGCTCCTCCAACGGCTCTCCCGGTACTACCCCTACTCCACCTCCTGCCTCTGGCCTACAGACAGAGGAGGGGACAACGACAAGACCAGCAGCTGGGTCTACGAAAACACCCTCAAACCAAGGCGCGGGCTTTGATCCAAGCATGATGGAGAAATTTTTCTCCTTCATGTCCTTCTACGAGCAGCACCAGCAAGGAGCACCTGCGCAATCAAACAACAGCAACAACAGACGTGACACCTATGAGTCTCGATGGCTCATCCTACGCACGCGGGAATCAACATCAACAACCTACCTTTGCTCCGTACGAGCCCCAACGTGGCTCCGTCAGCTTTATGCCGCAACCACAACCTGCACCGGGACAAGAGAGAGCACTGGACGCATTACAAGTTCAGTCGCAATTCGCGCATGTTCTAAAACTGCAAACGACAAAGCCTTTTGACGGAAAAGACTTCTTCACCTGGTCTTTCGAATTCGAGCTGATGATGGAAGGAGCGCAGATCCTTGGCTTCTTCGACGGGTCCCTGCCATATCCAACAAACGGCACACAGTATGAGAAGCAGCAGTATACTTATCAATCGATGATGGCGTACACAATACTACTGAGGAACATCACTGTCAGAACATATAGCTTACTTGTTTCTGTAGGCTATAGTGGGGTATCCCATAGGGGGTACAACCCAAATTAGGGTTTCCTATTTGGACTCACTTTGTTCATAGTCATTTCATTCTCGTTCATATCTTCTCATGGAATCAGAGCAGGTCCCTTCCTAGGGACTGTTCCTAGGGCCCACCGAAGCGCGCCTCGAGGCGCGCGTTTTTTTTTTTAGCGACCCTCCGTGTCGCCCTTACCGCCGTGCTCTCACTTAGGCCCCTCGTCGGCCCCGCTTAGGCCCCTCGTCGGCCCCGCTTAGGCCCCTCGTCGGCCCCGCTTAGGCCCCTAGTCGGCCCCGCTTAGGCCTCGTCGGCCCCACTTAGGCCCTGTCGGCCCCGCTTAGGCCTCGTCGGCCCCGCTTAGGCCCGGCTACGGCCCCGCGTCGGCCCCGCTTAGGCCCCGTCGGCCCGCCTAGGCCCCGCTACGGCCCCTCGTTGGCCCCGCCTAGACCCCGTCGGCCCGCCGTAGGCCCCGCTCCAGCCCGCCGTCGGCCCCGCTATAGCCCGCCGTCGGCCCCGCTACAGCCCGCCGTCGGCCCCACTACAGCCCGATGCCGGCCCCGCTACAGCCCGCTGTCAGCCCGCCGCCGGTCCCGCTACAGCCCGCCCTCGGCCCCACTACAGCCCGCCGCCGGCCCCGCTACAGCCCACCGTCGGCCCTGCTACAGCCTCGCTACAGCCCCGCTACAGCCCGCCGCCGGCCCCGCTACAGCCCCGCTACGGCCCACCGTCGGCCCCGCCGCCCGTGCTGCAGCCCGCCGCGCCACCGTGCAGCCGCCCGCCGCGCCACTGTGCAGCCGCCCGAGCGGCCGCCCACCGTGCCGCCCGTGAGCAGCCCCAGCCGCCCGTGAGCCGCCCGTGCAGCCGCCCGCGCCGCCCGTGAGCCCCTGCGTCACCCGAGCCGCGCGAGCCGCCCGAGCCGCCCGAGCCGCTCGAGCCGCCCGGGCCGCCCGAGCCGCCCGAGCCGCCCGAGCCGCCAGTGGAGCCGCACTCCTGCTCCTGTGGGGCCACTGCTGCTCCTGGGCTGTGTTACAGTGCCGCTGACCTACCCGACTTTTCCTACCCGGTGAGACTGTCAGCTGCTGTCATGGCCACCCCCACTGTCCTAGCTTTTGACACTGAGGGTAGAGCCATTGACTTTGCAGTCTGGATGGAAGACCTGCAGCTGTACTTACTGTGTGATGCGATAGATGAGGTCTCTCTCTTTGACTTTGTCTCTGGAGCTGTCCCTGCCCCTCCTGCTGATGCTGACCCCGCCGTTCGCTCCAAGTGGGCGACCCGCGATGCTGCTGCACGTCTTGCTGTGCGTCGCCACCTCCCTTCCTCCGAGCGTGCCCACTTTAGTCAGTGCAAGACCGCTCAGGCCTTGTACGACGCTGTAGTTGCACGCTACTCCTCCCCTTCCTCCGCTACGCTTAGCCGCCTCATGCTACCGTTTCTCTTCCCTGACCTCGCTGCCTTTCCCACTGTTGCTGACCTCGTTACCCACCTCCGCGCTAGTGACGCTCGCTACCGCGCTGCCCTTCCTGCTGAGTTCCGCGCCGCAAACCCTCCTCCCATGTACATCACTCTCTACTTTCTCGTCACTCGTCTCCCTGAGTCCCTTCGTGTAGTTAGGGACCAGTTTCTCTCTGTCTGTCCCACCACCCTCACTGTCGACCTCCTTGAGGAGTCCCTGCTAGCGGCTGAGAAGAGCATCGTCGCTGTAGGGGCCTCTCGGGGTGACCCTCACACCCCCATTTTTTAGGGGTGTTCTCCTTCCCCCCTGCTGCCCTCTGTCGCCTCTGCCGCTGCGGCCGACCTCGCTGGTTTTGAGTCGGTCGGTGCGGCGTCTGCCCCCAGCGGTAGACGCCGCAATGGCAAGGGCAAAGGGGGCAAGGGAGCGGGTGGAGCTAGAGGGGGCGGTGGCGGGGGAGGTGGGGGTGGCGGGGGGAGTGGGGGTGGCGGTGGAGGTGGTGGCGGGAGTGGAGGTCCTAGTGGAGGCGGTGGAGGCGGAGGTGGCGGCGGAGGAGGTAGCGGAGGAGGCGGGGGTGAGGGTGCCGGTGGGGGCGGTGGCGGTGGAGACGGGGGTGGCGGTGGAGGTGGGGGTGGCGGTGGCGGCGGGAGTCGGGGTGGCTCGTCTCAGCGGAGCAGCTCTGGGGGTGGTCAGCGCCAGCAGCAGCAGCAGCAGCAGCAGCCACAGCAATAGCAGCGCTCTCGCACCGTCCCCGCCCCTCAGCAGCTCCGTGAGTGGTACTTGCAGCGTCAGCGTGGTGGTGCGTTTGGTCCCTGCCCCTACGTTCTTCGCACCGGCGACCGTGCGGGGGAGAGGTGTGGAGGCACCCACACAGCCCGCCGCTGCTTTGGCCGCCTGACCGACGCCTGGCGTCAGCAGTTTCCGGAGGCCGCTGAGATCCCCCGCTGGGGGGAGCTGTCTAGGGCTGGTGTAGCTATTTATGATCTTGACTTTGATGCTATTCTTTCTGCTATGTATGTTGTGACTGGTAGTGATGAGGATGACTGTTACCGGTGTTTCCCGCCCGACCCGGGCATTGGTACTGCTGCGTCAGGTACTCGTGAGGCTGCTGCTCTAGGTGCCAGTGCGTCTGTGCTCTCAGGTACTGGTGAGTCTGCCCTCTCAGGTACTGTGTCGGCTTCGGCCTCTCACACCTTCACCCTTGACTCTGGAGCGTCTCGCTCCTTCTTTCGGGACCGCACCACTCTCACGCCGCTGAATCGGCCGGTTGCGGTGTCCCTGGCTGACCCCTCTGGGGGGCCTGTCCTGTCTCGCTTCTCCACGGTCCTTCCGTGTCCGGCGGCCCCCTCTGGCACCCTGTCTGGTCTCTACCTCCCCTCGTTCTCGACGAACCTGGTGAGTGGTGCTGACCTACAGGATGTGGGTGTCCACCAGTTCACTCCTGCTCGTCAGCAGGTGACACACTGCACGGAGGCTAGCACAGGTCGCCACCTGGCTACGTTTACACGTCGGCCGGGGTCGAGCCTGTACACACTGACCACTGCTTCTCCTCCAGGTACTGAGTCTGGTAGGGTCCCTTCGTCTGGTCAGGTGTTTGCTGCAGCGTCCAGGTCTGGCCCTGAGTCTGCCCCCTGTTCGTGTCGTCGTCTGTCTCACGAGACCCTCCTCTGGCACCACCGCCTTGGCCACCCCTCTCTGCTTCGGCTCAGAGGTATGGCCTCCCGTCTTCTTGTGTCTGGTCTTCCCCGGTCCCTCCCTCCCCTTCCTCAGGGCCCTGGCCCTGCCTGTGTCCCCTGTGTCGAGGGGCGCCAGCGTGCTGCCCCTCACTCCTCCCAGTTTCCTCCGACAGAGGCCCCGTTGCAGACGCTTCACATGGACGTGTGGGGCCCAGCCCGCGTCCTTGGACAGGGTCAGGAGCGCTACTTCCTGCTCGTTGTTGACGACTACTCGCGTTACACCACAGTCTTCCCCTTGCGCAGCAAGGGTGAGGTCACTGCGGTGCTGATCGACTGGATCCGCGCAGCTCGTCTTCAGCTCAGGCAGAGCTTTGGCTCCGACTTTCCTGTGTTGCGTCTGCACTCGGACAGAGGCGGAGAGTTCTCCTCTGCCCTTCTACGTACCTACTGTCGTGCGCGAGGCATCCGCCAGTCCTTCACGCTTCCGGACTCTCCGCAGCAAAATGGGATTGCTGAGCGCCGCATTGGCATGGTCATGGACGTCGCCCGTACGTCCATGATGCATGCGGCTGCCCCCCATTTTCTGTGGCCGTTTGCGGTCAGGTACGCAGCGCATCAGATCAACCTCCACCCCAGGGTCTCCAGGCCGGAGACCTCCCCAGCCCTGCTGTGGACGGGGAAGGTTGGCGATGCGTCGGCGTTCCGGGTCTGGGGATCTCGGGCGTTTGTCCGCGACCTGTCTGCGGACAAGCTGTCCCCTCGCGCTTCTCCCTGCGTCTTCCTGGGGTTCCCCCCCGACGCCCCTGGGTGGCAGTTCTACCACCCCACCTCTCGACGTGTTCTGTCCTCCCAGGACGTCACGTTCGACGAGTCGGTACCCTACTACCGCCTCTTCCCCTACCGCACTCCTTCCCTCCCCCCGCCCCCGCTCTTCTTGGTACCAGGTCCCCCCCCGGTAGACCCCCTCCCCCCTCAGGGTCCTGCCCCTTCAGGTGTGTCCCAGGTAGACGCGGTCGAGCCTGTCGAGGTCACTGGTGACTCTGGTGCTGCTGCGGGTGCTGAGCCTGGGGGTGCTGGGCCTGGGGGTGCTGAGCCTGGGGGTGCGGAGTCTGGGGGTGCTGAGCCTGGGGGTGCTGAGCCTGGGGGTGCTGAGCCTGGGAGTGCGGATTCTGGGGGTGCGGAGTCTGGGGGTGGTGAGCCTGGGGGTGCTGAGCCTGGGGGTGCTGAGCCTGGGGGTGCTGAGCTTGGGGGTGCTGTGCCTGGGGGTGCTGTGCCTGGAGGTGCTTCGTCTCGCCGTGAGCCACTCTCCCCACAGGAGCTGCGTGAGTGGTTTGCTAGGCGCTGGAGGCGTGCTGCTGGTGCTGTAGTTTCTTCGCCTGCAGAGGGTGCCGCTGCCTCGGGTCCCGGAGGTGCTCGTCTTGGGAGTACTGGAGCTGCTGGGTCTGAGGTTTCTCCTGGAGCTGGTGCTGCTGAGGGTGTTGGCACTGGGACTGCCGCTGGCGGTCCGCCTGGCAGTGCTCCTGGTGGTGCTGCTGGAGGTTCTGGAGCTACTGGAGGTGCTGCTGGAGGTGCTGCTGGAGCGGGTACTCCTGCTGGGGGTACTAGTCCTGTCCCTGCTGTTTCTGGCGTCGCCGCGCGGCCCCGACCGTACTTCGTTCCGCTCCTGCAGCAGGTTCTTGGTCTTACACCTTCTCCTGGTCCTCCTCCTCCTCCCTTAGAGGGTCCGCCGCCTGTCCAGTCACAGCCACCGCTACAGCCTGCCTCCCCTTTGCCTGCTCCTTCTCCCTACGCTGGTCCGACTGGAGGTCTTACTGAGCGTCGTGAGCCTGCGTCTCGTCCTGCGTCGCCTGTTCGTACTGCGCGCGCTAGTGGTCGCGGGTCGCGTCAGCGTCCTCCTCCTGTCCCTGGCACGCACCGGATGTCACTGCGTCCGTCCACTGCTCCTCTGCGTGCCCCTTTGCCTTCTCCTCCTGCTTCCTCTCTTCCTGCTCTTGCCGACCCGGAGTCGGACTCTCTTCGTGCTGCCAGTCCTACTGTCACGCGTCTCCTTGCTACTACTGTCACTGACCCTTCCTTCGAGTCGTCTGCTGCGTCTGCCCTTGTCACTGAGCTTGTCGACTTTGCTGCGCGCTGTTGTCTAGACTACGCTACCAGTCTTGTCGCTGAGTCTGAGTCTGCCTGTCCTCCGTCCGTCGGGGGTGAGTGTGCCCTTGGCACGGACGTCCTTGAGGACAGGCAGGAGGAGTTCCAGTGTCTGGCCGCCGCTTCACCTCATCTCGCGTCTGTACTGCTAGCCCCTGAGGGAGACCCGGATGCACCAGACATCCCGACTCCGCGCTCTTACGCGGAGGCGATAGAGGGTCCCTACTCCTCTCAGTGGCAGGCAGCTATGGATGCAGAGATGGCTTCCTGGAAGTCCACAGGCACCTACGTTGACGCTGTTCCCCCTCCTGGGGCGAACATAGTCAGTGGCATGTGGATTTTCAGGGTGAAGCGGCCGCCGGGTTCTCCGCCTGTCTTCAAGGCGCGTTACGTGGCTCGTGGCTTCAGTCAGCGGCAGGGGGTTGACTACTTTCAGACCTTCTCCCCCACCCCAAAGATGACCACTCTTCGGGTTCTACTGCACGTTGCTGCTCACCGTGACTACGAGCTCCACTCTCTCGACTTCAGCACCGCTTTCTTGCAGGGCAGCCTGCACGAGGAGATCTGGCTGCGTCGCCCACCTGGCTTCACTGGGTCTTTCCCTCCTGGTACCCAGTGGAGTCTCCGGCGTCCAGTCTACGGTCTCCGCCAGGCGCCACGTGAGTGGCACGACACACTGAGGACTACGCTGGCGGCACTTGGGTTTGCTCCTTCTACTGCCGACCCGTCGCTGTTTCTGCGCACCGACACCTCGCTGCCGCCGTTCTACATCCTCGTGTACGTCGACGACTTGGTCTTTGCCACAGCTGACACTGCTGGACTCGCCCACGTGAAGTCCGAGCTGCAGAAGAGACACACGTGCACTGACCTGGGTGAACTGCGTAGCTACCTTGTCTTGCAGATCACCCGGGACAGAGCACGCCGCACCATTACCCTGACTCAGTCACACATGGTGCAGCAGGTCCTTCAGCGCTTCGGCTTCACGTACTCCTCGCCTCAGGCCACTCCTCTGCCTACTCGCCACTCGCTCTCAGCTCTGCCTTCGGATGAGTCCGTAGAGTCGAGTGGCCCGTTTGCAGAGCTTGTTGGCTGCCTCATGTACCTGATAACCTGCACACGACCTGACCTTGCATACCCTCTTAGCATTCTCGCACGCTATGTTGCTCCTGGGAGACACCGACCAGAGCACATGGCTGCAGCAAAGAGGGTGTTGCGCTACTTGTGCAGTATGTCGGGCATGGGGCTAGTGCTTGGAGGGCGCAGTCCAGTGGTCCTCACTGGGCACGCAGACGCTTCTTTGGCTGACGACCAGGCTACGCAGCGGTCGTCACAGGGTTACACCTTCAGCCTTGGTTCCGGCTCTGTTTCGTGGCGGGCTACCCGCTCGTCTTCTGTTCTCGGCTCCAGTTGTGAGGCTGAGATCTACGCTGGGGCTATGGCTGCACAGGAGTTACGCTGGCTCACCTACCTGCTGACCGACCTTGGAGAGCAGCCTCGTTCTCCTCCAGTCCTGTACGTAGACAACAAGGCCATGCTGGCCTTGTGTCGAGAGCAGCGACTGGAGCACAGAACGAAGCACATTGCTCTCCGCTACTTTCTTGCTCGTGAGCTACAGCAGCGTGGACAGTTGCGACTTGCGTACGTGGCCTCTGAGGCCAACACTGCTGATGTCTTCACCAAGGCACTTGCGCCTTGTGATCATCAACGTTGTTGCACGCAGTTGGGTCTTGTGCCTGTCTTGCCTAACTTGCTCTCCTCTTGACCTTGCTTGTACCTTCGTCTATATATACTCTTGCTCTTGCTTACTTGACTCTTGTATATCTCTATATATGATCTTGCATGTGAACTGGCCTTCTGGCCTTTGAACTTGTACTCGGAATGCGTGGTGACTTTGTGATCCACCCTGAGCTTTGC